AAGTTACATCTGGACAGATGTGTTAACCCTACGTTGAATCAGGACCAGTCCTCGGTTGAATACATGATTGGAAATAAAGTGCCAAGGAAGGCACAAGCGACATACTTGGGTGCCACGTTGACAGATGCAGTAGATAATCATAGAGAAGCTTTTCAAAGAATCATGGGGAAGCAGACTTGTGCTTTGGCAGCCATAGCAAAGAACCGCGAAGCTCCTTTCAACTAAGATGGGTCATTATGCTAACGTCATCGAATATGTCATCGAATTTCACAGCAGCGGCAGTGCGGTGCTGGCATCACTTTCAGTTTGAAAGCCGACGTGGGCATAGACCTCGGGGCTTCTGATCGTTCCTTTTCACAGTTGGGTGGTTGTCAAAATTATGGTCCCTTTTTGGTCCGTGATATAATACGGCACCTATTATCTAGGGTACCCTAAAAGGGACCCTAACTTTGACAACCAGCCAGTTAGGATCTGCTTTTCTTTACGTGCCGGGCAGCACTTACGATGTACGGAGGGCCAGGTCCAAAGGTCTGAGGCCGCTGTGGGTCGTGGCCCTGACTTAAAGTGTTTGCAAGTGGAAGCATGTGGGAGCTTCAGAAAATACAGGGGTACCTTATTTTGGGGTCCTTATAATAGGGATCCTCTTATTTAGGGTACTATATTAGGGTCCCCTATTTTCGGAAACTTTCATGTGGATTCCTCTGCCGAGTTGGAAAGACCGCAATGCGATGTGGCTGCGACTGGCCGAACCCTGAGTTGCACCATGGTCAACACCATGAAGATTCTATTGAGTTGACTGGGAATATCTGAGAACGTAAGAGTTTTCGGGTGCATTTTCCGCTCAGTTTGTTGTTCTCATGTACAGGCTGGTTCCGCTCCGCAGCCACTTCGCTGACCGAGGTTTGTGATTTCTCCTTTTCGTGGACGATCATGTTCGGAATCGATGCGTTCTTGCCCAGCACCAAGAATCTCAATGCAGAAGTGCTTTCACTACGCTATGCTTCAAATCAGCTGCAGGGAATGGCAACTGCGTTCTGAAAAGAGCTTGGCCTGGTTGTTGCTGTTGGTAGAGCCTCCCCATCCACCAGGACAAACTCTGGTCTTGGTGGCGCAGAATTCGGCGTTGTGGGTGACGTTGGGAGCCTTGCATTTGGGGGGCTCTTGAGCGAATCGGTCATTTCCGGACATGCCGTCGTGACCATGCACAGCCGAGGTATGTGCCAGAAGTAAGTGTAGAGATGCATTCCGTTATATTCCGTTGCAAGATTTTGTGTTTTCAGTTGCCTCTGAGGTGATCACTGCCTGCATAGTCACAGTGTGGGCATTTGCCGCCACAGCCTGAGCTTTATGGACTGCTGGGACTTTATCTAAAGGTGGCCCCATGCATCAATTGAGCATTTTCTACATGGCGATGGTTCTAGGTCTAGTTACGACGTGTCGTGCTCGCTGTTCAGGAACTCGACACCCCTGTTTGCCGAGACTCGGGCCCACAACCCCCCCGCAAGCACGCAATCCGAGCGTAGTTGGGATCCTCAGGAGAAGGTAGATCTCATCCTTTTCAGTTTGATTTCCCAGAGCGGGCATCTAGGTGCCGAAACATGCAGTGGCGCCTTCCGTCGAGCTTTAACCGAAAAAGTTTCGAACTGTTTTTCGACCGGCGGAAAGCATACATGCTTGCTCGAACCAGGCCCACATGCATTCTGCGTGGCATTGAATGTGCATGGGCTGCACGAAACCAGTTTGAAGCACTTTCGACGAGCTGAAACGGCAGAAATGTTCAATTCTCAACGTCACGTTCAGTCATCATAGGAAATGAGGCCTGGACCACACTTTTGGTGCCTGTGAAGTTGTGCATCCGGAGACCTCAGGTAATTTTCTTCCTTGACAAGAAGGCAAGGGATCGACAAAGTCGTTCCTTCGAGCTGCGAGGAGCAGTGCTTCGCAAGCGGTAGCTATCTTCCTGGTAGGCCCCTGTGGCCACGATCAAGTCCAGGATCCATTGCTTCAGCCCCTACTGTACCCCTAAAGCCCTGAAGCTCCTTAGACTACCAGACTACCAGAGGAGGCAGGAAATGACCTGCATCCACTGAGCATCCTGCGAGGTGGACTCTGCCATGCACAAAGAAGAGGAGCTGGCCGCAAGTCCGAACTCGCCGGGGCCTTGGAAGCTTCCGGCCCGCGATGCTGGGATTGCTGATGCTCTCATGGTGGATAGCCATGGGTGTATGAGGGTGTATGAGAAATTTTCAAGGCTCATGTGGCCGCAGACACGAGAGAACCTTGCGGTTCCGTACCTCCAAGCAGAACTCAGATGCTCTCCCCAGGAGAGACCAGGCGAAGGCCAAGCTCCAGAAGAGGCCAAGCTGCCAAAGCTGCCAACGCTGCCATGTGCAAGGTCTTTCTCTCGTTTTCACTCCTTTTCGCAGGAGCAGATGCCCTTTCTCTCGACCATCATGTGTTACAGTATCTCTCTATCTACCGAGTCTACCTATTCTCTCTGCCTATGTGTGCATGACTTTGTGTGGACCTCGGGGCCTCGGTGTGATAGGAAAAGAGCCGCCATGCGTGGCACCATTTTAGTGCCAGCCTCGGACAGCGAACGACCACGGGGCAGACTTTCTCTGCGCTCCCCACTTTGCAGCGCGCGTTGAGATTGCTCTTGAGGCCTTGGGAGTCTTGATTGGTTTCGCCTGGGAGAAGAGCGCAGCTTGGCCACAGGTGTCGCTAGCCTTTCCCAGAAAATCCAGGCTTGCAAGGGAGAGAGCAATGCGATGTTTGCGAGGTTTGTCCCTGTGCAGTCCCGGATGCAAGTACGCAAGAAGCGGATCGCATGGTTTGAGTTGCTTCTTCCTCCACTAAGTTCGACACAGCAGTAGACGACACCGCCGAGAAGGACCGCACCTGACCGGTGGTCCAGCCTCCTTAATGTGCAGCTTTGTGGCCGCCTGTGAGGAGAGCAACATCATGCCACCTTCTTTCATCAAGGTGGTCTTGGCCATGCTTCTGGCGGGGTCCACAGAGGTTAGAGGGACCGCAGAGTTGCGGCCACCACGCTTTCCGGGTTTGAGCCGGAAACGAAGGCGACTGTGGTCCTTCCGGCGTGGCGCTGGTACATCTTGCCCGTGGCCACCTCAGAGCACTAGCAACGACGCAAGCCCGCTTCTGTTGAAATGCCTTGGTGGCCGGTGATTTTGCAGAGACTGCAGGAGGTCGTGCGTTTGGGCGGCTTCTCGGATCCGGCAGATGAGGAAGCCGAGGACCGAAGAGGGCTCCCAAGCGAGCATTGCCTTCCTTCATCTCTGCTCAGATACGAGGCTTCCCCGGAATTGCTATGCTGCTATGTGTTGGCAAGAAGGCGTGCACCAGCATCTGGTTAGTATAGTCTCTGTTGCTATTAAGCTGCTTGAAAACGCTGTATAGATCGTTCGTAAAAACGCAGATACGCACAATTGGCAGGACAGGAGTGGATGCGCAGACAGCAGAATCCTTGTTTCGACTCTGGAACACAGTCGCCAAGCCGTAACCCGGCCACATACAAGGATGCTGAACCCAAAGCATCCATGAAAGCAGGCGAGCAATTGCTGCTTTCGGAAGCGCGTGGCAGCATGTGATTTGCACCAGGATAGTGTGCTCAAGGTTCGTAAATGCCTCATGCAAGCAGTAAACCACAAGTATCCGAAGTTGGCCAGGACGCCGTGGAAAAAGCTGAAGAGGCCACCTGTTCTACGTTCGAAGCAGGTCTTGCCAGCTGTTCCGGCAGATCATGTTGGTTTGACGCAAGCGCTGCTACTTGGCTGCGCGGTCAGGGCTACCGTCCTCCCATGCTCCCAGAAACGATGGAGTTCCAGATGCAGGCCGGGGCCTATCCCCAGCAGCGCTTCGCCATAGGAATTGCAAATCGTTGGTCGCCGAGCTCGAGCTTGGCGTGCTCCGAAGCCCTGCCATACCCTGCCCGCCTTGCCGCGCCTCAGAGTACAGGAGATGCAGAAGAAGATCGAGAAGCTGGAGCTCGAGAAGGTGGGCCGAACGTAAGCAGGAACTAGTCTTGCATAGACTTTAAGACAGAGAGGACGGATCCTCACACCCAGGTCGTCATCCCCCGACTTGAAAAAGACCTTGTGTAATCTTGCGCCTCCTGCATGTCAGGTCGACTGCAGACTGAAGACTGAGAGTAAAGTGTGATTTCGTACGAGCAAAATGATAAGCTGCTGCCATGTATCTAGCAGGGACGCCAAGATGGATGAGATAGTGCTGCAGGGCGCCCTCGCCGATGAAGTGAACCAGCTCCGGCGCAAAGTGGCTGTCCGAATGTCATCGGCTTCCAGTTGGCTGTCTGTAGCTTTGCGGATGCCAAGGTGAACGATCTGCAAGGCAAAGGCTGAACTTGCCAGTGACGTAGGAGTCTGTACTGAATCCTTCAGTGCGTAGGAGCGTAGGACGAGTCCTTGGGCTTTCAAGCTTTCAGGGTTCTGAAAAAAGGGGGGGGGAGTGATGAGCGCTGGTACACTGGCTGCCATGGACTCTGCAGGCTTGTCTTGACCAGAGCTGTGCAGCATGGACAGCCCGGTGCACATCGAAGTATCATGGGTTTGCGGATGTTTGCGGCTTGTCGGCTCGAGGCTGGTAAACCCCTCAGCCGAACGATACAACATCCTCATAGAGCAGGCTGTGATCTGATGTGCGTTTCTCGTCTACGTAGGGTGCAGCGATTTGGCCCTAGATTGCTAGACACTTTCACTAGCTTGACTTGTGGAGATTCGTTACAGACCTTACGCAAGTGGTACTCGAGGTAGCTTTCGCAGCCATGTTCCTGAGAGCTGCGGCTCGGAGCATGTTGTGGTTGCAGGCTTCCGCAGGGCTTCAGACGGGCCTATGCTGCTTCCCCCAATTTTACCAAAGCTCGGACTCCTTGGACTCGATGATTTCGAGGGCACCGAAGACCAAGGGCCTTTAAGCCCCGGAGCCTCTGAAAAAGCGAGGCCCTGCTCCTGGCCGGGACCATGGCCGTCCCTCTGGTCCATGATGCGCAACAACCTGCATCTTTCAGTCAGGCAGGGACGTGGAGAAGGATGACACGGTCGGCTAGGGAAAGCTAGTACCTCTTGAGGGTTGCGCCACGGTGGGTCACCAACGGCAATAGGTCTTGCAGCGACTTCCGATTTCAGATCGGATGTTTCAGTTTCGGTGCTCTTCTCAGTGTTAACCCGCAGGTCTTCTGCTCGGAGTATCCGTGGCTGTGTGGCGACAAGATCGACTGCCGGAACAGCGCAGGCCAGTTGGATGCTCGTATAACCTGTCCTGACCCTACGACCCAAGCTGGGAAGTAAAATGGAGTTGTAGCCAGAGACCGAAGTGGCTTGCAAAAGATGGCGAGGTGAGGCTCCGTCGACAGAGGAGATTATGCAGGAGAAGCTTCGTTTGTGGCATCAAGTGGTCGAAACGCACTTTGGTTCAATTCAGCACAGGCTTGTGCTGGAGCAGGTCGTGCTGCCCCTCTTTACAATCATCAGTACACGTATCTGCTTGGGCGTGGACACTATGAACTGAGATTTTTTGAAGAGTTTTGGCATGGAGAATGGCTCAGGCCAGGACAGCCCAACGAGAGGTCCTGGTGCTTCGCCAACCCCATTTACTGGGACCTCGTGGTGAAGGAGTGCGTGGCCAAGGCCAGAGAAGGTACGGGTCTCTTTTCTTCTGGAGTACAGGAAAGCTGTCATTTGTGTGTGGGGGCCTTTTGGGGCCGCGCTCCTTCTCCGCGCACCCCCCGTCTTGTGACTGCGAAGCGCCGCTGCATGGCCTTGCGGCAGGGCGACCTGAAGACCAGTGCACAAGTGCAGTTTCGCTTTTCAGCCGCTTGGCTCAGGTTTTGAGAATGCGCTCTGTTGAGATCAAACTCCATGCTCAGGTTTTGAATCACCCTCTTGATGAGATGGATGCGAGCTACTGCTTTCTCTGGGGCCACTGCCAGAACGAGGAGGTGACCAGCAGAACAACTCGCGAAGAAGCTATCGAGATGTGCTGCTCGCCGGAGCTATAGAGATTATAGAGGGCCTCTTGAGGTACACATCGGGCAGACCACTGTGACGTTGCGGCTATTTCCGGCCCAGGCAACCAAATCTTCCCGGAGCCGAATAGCTGGCAGAGCGTAGGCCGGGAGGTTCCGGTTTGAGTCCAAGTTTCGAAAGCCGCCGCTCTTTGGCGCAGGCTTCAGTGATGCCCCGACCAACCTTTCGATGGATGTCAGTCCGCGGCACGTGGACTCGCAGCTTCTCCGAAGAGATGTGATGCCTCGTGACGTTGATTCCGGAGGGAGGCAAGTTGAGCTCGTTGGGTTCGATGGTCAAACCTCTGCCGACACAGTTAGGCTGGGAGCGAAGAAGACACAGCCGAGGTATACCCACTTCAATACCAGTGACCAGGTGGAGATATATGCAAAGCTTGCGTGTGCACAGGGCAACTACCATTGCGATGTGGTCTACTGCAAGGACGGGGCATGCACGTGTCTTTACTTCGTGTCTCGACCGCACTTGATGAAGTTGCTCAGGAGACTTACTGCCAGACGGAGTATTATCGGCAGAAGTACCAGCACCTGTCACCCAAGCCGCGCTAGCCGCCAGCACGGAAAACATGGAGCTTGCAATGAAAGCAGCAGGTGCCCCGCTGATAGCTCGGTGTTTTGGAAGGTGACACAGCTGAGCGCTCATTCACAGGGTGTCAGTGCCGAGCCGACCCATGGACTCCCAGCTTCAAAGTTGCTAGGAGCACGACGGTGCCGATCTGGTTGAGGACAGCAACAAAACTAGTCGTCGTTTCGTTCTAGTAGTCCTGGTATTGGTAGTGGCATAATGGTAACGGCAAGAGGAATCGTAATTTCCTTGGTAGTATAGCAAGGCTAGTAGTTGCGTATGTGGTTATGGCAAGCATTGCCGCATGCCCGTGGCGCGGAGCCAGAAACACGGCAACTGCCGACCCAGCTGCATTGCCACACAGCCCACGTCCCAAATCTGCGGAATCACTGCACAGCCCCGGCAGGGTGAATTCGAATGTACTTGGCGCCATGGCAGCCATGTGTGCCAGAGCCCCTGATTTCTGGAGCTCGCAGCACGCCAAGGCCGGAGTTTCATCATGTGTCAATTGGAGCTCATTTGTATGGCGGGGACGGGACGAATGAGCCGGGCAGAGCAGAAGAACAGCAGATACGACCAAAAACATTGGGAGTGACTACATGTAACTATCTGGCGGCGGTGCCGGATAAAGACGTGTAGTAGATAGTTGCTACGACGATGAAGACGACCACTTGTCTTCCAACGCAATATTTTCTCATTATCGCTTCAGCATTAATCCTGTCGGTACGCTCCGACTTATCCTCTTTGGTGTTCTTGGGGTTGCAAGTATTTTGGTCTCCCACTGTTGTTTTGCTAGTGCTGTGAATAGGTTTTCGTCGACTGTGAGCACCAGCAGGGTTGTGGTGATGAAGACAGTCTTTGTGACGAGCCATACGGTTGATTCGACTGCGTTTGGAACCGCGGCTCCGCTCTGCTCTGCTCTGCGGCTCGCAATTGGTTGCCCAGGCGAGAGCCGGAGCGCGCACCGCGCTGGCCGCCCTTCCTCTCGCAGCGCTGGCCCCTTCTGCTGATCCCGGCGCCTTTTTTGATGGGCCGTCGTGGCGAGAGGAGGACCACGATTGTGACTCGCCGGAGGGTTTTGTTTTTTTCGTCCGCCTGGCCGAGCCTTCGCAGGTGCGCCCCCAAGCTGTGCCGGGGCGCGGGCAAGTCCCAGATCTTGCCACCCGGGCCGACGCCGACACAGAGTGCCTGGGAGACGGCCGAAGAGCTTTTACCTTGGAGATACTGTAGGGGCTTAATAATTAGAACAGGGTTTTGGGGTATATTATACTATAGTTATAATAAGGAACCACCAAAATTATACTATAGTTAGAATAAGGAACCACCAAAATAATACTATAGTTATAATAAGGAACCACCAAAATAGGTATATTATACCATAGTTATAATAAGGAACCCCCCCAAAATAATCCTAAACCCTAAACCCTAAACCCTAAACCCTAAACCCTAAACCCTAAACCCAAAAATAATATAGGTACTTATGAGACGGGGCACGCATAGAGACGCCGAGGCATGGAGCAGCTGCGCGAGCCTTTCTTCTTCCAGCTGGCAGACCTGGACGGGGGAATTTTGGGGTTTAGGGTTTAGGGTTTAGGGTTTAGGGTTTGGGAGCAGAGCTTTCTGGATCTTAAAGTGACGATTCCTGGGCCGTTTCTTGCAGGACGACAATGGCGCCATTTCGGCCAAAGAGCTGCTTGTGGCGATGCGTGTTTTAGGCCGGTTTTGGCCTGGGCCGGGTGTTGCATGACTTGCGTGGTGAAAGGGCTCTTGATAGTCTTGGTTTCTGTGGAAGCTTCGGCGCAGGGCGTCGATCGTGTAGACATCGCACAGCCTCACGTGCCCATGATTCCGAACTCTCTTGGAGGCATCAACATGCAGCTGAGTGGCTCGGCACACGAGTTGTGCAGGTTTGCCTCCCAGGGTCCTTGGCTTGGTTGGTTGCCAGACCGAGGCGATGTAACGCAAATCGTCTCGGAGCTCGACAAGACCGGCGACGGCGGGGGTGATGGGGGGCACCGGGGTGGCCGAGAGCTTGATGGGAATCTCCATCGCTATAAATAATGCGCTCAGGCGAAATCAGCTTCGACGAGTTCATGGAGGCCTGCCAACGCCCTCGGCGAGACGGCTTCAGGCGCACGAGAGGAGCTTTTAGCCTCCGTGCACTCCAAGCACCAACATCCAGGCGTGCCGTCCGCCGCAGCCGGGTGCTGTCCCGCTGGAGCGCGCTGCTCTTCGAGTCAGACGATCCGGAATCGCTCAGTGCCCCGTCTTGAGACGAAATTTGACGTTCTGCTGACAGTCAGCCTCACACGTTGAGCAAGGCACAGTGCATTTCGCAGACAGCTTAGACAAGCGTTTAGACAAGTTTAGCCGCTTCACGAGGTACATTGCAAGTCGCGCGGGCTGCGAGAAACCTTTCCGACAAGATGACAGAGTCGGATATGGATCGATTACTTGGCTCCCTGACGACAAGCAGCGGCCACGTACTCTCCAGTCTACATGATACACTTTTCCGTATGCATGGTTCTACAGTTGCCATCATATGCCCATACACCTAAAGTTGAATACCCTAACAGCGTAGGTACCTGGGAATTCTCTTGATACCTACATGTCTACATCCACAAATCCATGTGTCTGCAAAACCAATATACCGGTATGCCGGTATACCCATATATGCAGATCTAGAGCTAAATAAATAGGCCAACACATGAATACGCAGATAAAGACGAGAAAATACATAGCGAAATACTAAATGCATGCGTCGTATGAATATATGTATATATATATATATATGTATATACATTACACAGGTATTTATGTTCCCTCATTATCGGTCTGGTGGGTTAGGAACTAGAGGATCAGTTTTCACTATATATATATATATATATATGCAGATCTAGAATTAAACAGACCAACACATTACGTAATGCATCGGTAAAGACGAGAAAATACATAGCGACATACTAGATGCATAGGTTGTATGAATTTGTATATATATATATATATATGTATACACATGGATACATGTATGAATCCAGTCTTGCACAGCATGGAGCCATTTATTCTGTGCAATACAGCAGTGTATACTTCATTCCATTCCCTAAACATCGAAGACAAACCTAAACCATAAGCCAGCCTTGAGGCGAGAGCCCACCCGAGTCTCCAGCGAGCAGTGGGGGCGACACTGACAAAGAGGTCTTGCCCGAAGTGCCTAGCGCTGCAAGGTCAGGGAGCTCTTCAGAGTCCGTTTTCCGGTTTCGGAGGTTCAGGTTTAGGTTTTGTGCAGGATGCCCTTCGAATGCTTCGAATGGGCGAAGTGCTTAGCTCGCGGGAGTGTAATGTTGGATAATGTGAGTACAGCCTTCTTTCTGCAAGAACCGCTGTTCCCACGTCACAACTGGATTTTTCACCTGGCACGACGATGCTCTGGCTGGAGAAACTTCGTTTACACGAAGTATTGAACGACTGTGCAGCGAAGAATCCGCAACCCACAGCAGACTGAAATCGTTGCAGAAAACCAGACCAGCTACCACAGGGGCCACATGCAAGGGTTCAGGCCTTCATTGGGGGGAAGCCATGGTTTTGTTTTGTGGAGCGCGTTTCGATCTCAGGTTGCGGCAAGCATCTGGAGGCATCAATTGTGGCCACGAGGTGCTCCAGCGTCGTGCACAGGTCGAGTCAACGCACGAAGGGACACAACGAGCAGCTAAGAAGCTGGTATGTGCTGCTTGCGAGACCGAGATCGCAATGTACTCCGTTCATTAGTATCTGTTTGTATCTGTTCGATATTGTTAGCACTGGATTTGGGTGTAGGTAGATGTTCGATGTCGTGCCATGCTGGTGCTGCATGAGATCTTGGCCTTGCCCAGCTTCAGATCCGAACTCATTCTCGGAAGCTAGGCACCAACTCTGCTTGCTTTGGTCCCTGCCAGCTGTGTAGGCTTCGATTACCGAGTAGTCGTAGCATACTTCGGCGTCCCTTCTGATTGCCTCTCCGAGTCCTTCGTGAAGGAGCCTCCTGCTCGCTGGGGTTCAGGGCCGGTTAGGGGTTAGCGTTCTCGTGACTCTGTCGCTGAAGTGGCCGCCAGGACGAGAGCCGTTTCACCCGTGCAAGCAGGCTTCATGGCTGCAGGGCTTTAGGGGATTTCTTGTGGTTCCTCATTTGGTTTGCTTTTGGCAGAATATGCCCCAACGAGAAGCCAAGGTCAGCTCGGCCGGCCAGCAGCATGGACGAGTCCCACACGTCGAGGAGCAAGGAAAAGGTGAAGCCCGACAAGAACCAGAGAGCAGCTATACAGAGCCTAGCCGGCGCAGAGGTGTTGCAATTGCTCCTGCAGCAGGTCTTTGAGCGTGCTTCTTTGGATGGGGTGGTTACGGAGTCTTTCTACTTGCAGCAGCAGATCCACTGGGAGATGGAGAAATACCCAAGTCCAGAGATTTCACCTCCCAAGACCATGAGGACCGTGAAGAATCTGCACAAGCTCCTTTCTCGTATGAGCTTGAGGCAAATGATTCAGTTTATCGGGCATAGCCCTGTTTGCGACCACAGCTTCCTCGACCATGTGCAGACACAGATGGCCTCCACCAGCGCAGGCAGTATGCGTGAGATCAGTGGCGTGAGGCTTGCAAAGTCCGTGTGGCTGTAGTTTGCGTAATAGCAACGGCTCTCTCGGACGCTAGGCCTGAAACTCGAATCTTTCTGATTTGCGGTGCACCTGCCGCACGGGTGTTGATTCATGTGCGCCCGTGCGGCAACGTGTCCTGTGCATCTAATGTTGCGAGACTCGGCTGCGACTGGCGGACGTGCCCCATGTCCTTTCAAGTATTTAGGTAACTCAGTGGCTGAGTTGGCAGAGGATTTGGATTTCGTTCTGGGGGAGGCCGTGCGCAACAACATTTTATACGGTTTCGCATCCGAGTTCTCGATTCCTGCTTGTCCGGTCGGTGTGTTTCACGTCTAGTCACACCCTCTTGCCTGTGCGCTTGATTCAAAAGTGCCCTCGGCCGCATAGCAGAAATCAACCAGCCTTAATCCTGCAAGAAGCCCGGCTGAACCTCACTCCAGTCCCTGGTCCCTGCCAGCTGTGTAGGCTTCGATTACCGAGTAGTCGTAGCATGCTTCGGCGTCCCTTCTGATTGCCTCTCCGAGTCTGAGCCCTCATCTAAGCCCTACTTTATTAGATCTTATAAGAAACCCGCCTGTAATGGAAACCCTACAAGAAATCTGTGGCAGGCACAAAAGCACGCATTCTCCACTTCGCGCACCTGTGTATCTGCGAGGTGCCACTTCTGGCAAGCTTTATGCTTATACACGTGTGCTGTTTTTTAATTCTCAGTCTATCTTTATGTTTTATTTTTTATTTGTATTTTATCTGGTTTCCTTTCTCTTTATCTCTAATTCTTTTTCTGTCCTTTTCCTTATCTCTTTTTGTGTCTTTATCTCAATGTGCACATGCAGACCTGTTGTATGTGTGTATATATAATGCATATACATACTCGCATGCTATATGAACAAACACACCTGCACATGCAGATTCTGTGCGTGTGCTACATATGCAGTCGTTTGTGTCCATCAGCTTGTAGATGCAACATGAAGGGGCAGTCAGTATAGCCTTATGGTATGTGGTCTAGATTAACTAAGCAGGGCTGCGAGGCATTGGGAGCCGAAGAATTAGTGCAACGTCGGTAACTTCCTGTGATTCCTCTAGCTCTTCTCTCGGTCTTCTGCCAGAGGCCGCCGTTGCTCTGATGCGCTGGAAGCCGACTGCCAGGGCCATCGCGTGGCTGTTGCAGTGGCGCCTGCTGGTGCTGGCGCTGAGGAGTGGTCCTGTGCACGTGTAATTTTCTAAATTAGGGTCAGCTTTAGGGCCCTTTTTTAGAAGGGTGCCGTATTATATTGGGGACTTAAAAAGGGGCCCTAATTTAGAGAACTACCCAAACAATGGTTGTGTGCATTGGGAGGGGTCTCGCTCTGTCCTTCGGAGACTTGCGAGGGGCCTGTGAGCCCAAATCTGCGCTCACTGTTCACCGGTCTGGAGCTTAAGGGCGCCCTGGTCAAGCAACTGTCCGTTGGCCTTAGTTCTGCTGCCATCCTGAGTCAATCCTTCGGGACTCGTTGTCCCGCAAATCACTGTCCTGCTCGCAAGTCTTGGTGTGGGTTGTGTAGGATCAGAAAAGGGACAAACGAGCCCTAAACTCGTGGTAGGACAAGGGCCCCGAAACCCACTGTTATTTCTCAATGTAGGAAAGGCGGGGTTTTCGTGCAGAGAGAGCACTTGCTGGGTCCCGAAAGTCCCTTCACCAGGCTTTCGTATGCATATGAGGGAGAGAAGACTTTGCAGAGTCGGATGTTTGAAGCATGGCCTGGGTGAGTTCAAACTTCCCGAGTCGAAACGGAGTAGAAAGGAAAAGCAATACTGCATCAACATGGGGTTGATCCCTGCTTTCAACGGTTGGTCCAGGGTTAGACTGGCGAGGAATCTTTCGCTGCAGGCCCTCTGCATAAACCTTGCGATGCTGAAGCACTATGTTCTGAATCTGCAGACGGCAGACCGAAGTCAAAACGACGATGGAGAGTTCGCATGCACTCAAACGAAAGCGGAAGGCCTGGCAGTATTCTGCCCAGACCGGGCTCACGAAGTCGTGACGTAAGGATTCTGCATATAAGATCTTTGAAGTCTGTATGCGCCCGCAGCCCTCAACCAAACCCCGATCGGTCGTGGTTTAAGGATCCTGTCCACCCCCTGAAGCCCGGCACTTGAGATATAGCGCACCTTGAAAATGCGGAAACCCTGCAAAAAGCCGTGGGGGGTCATACTCCCCCAAAGCCTTAAACCCCTAAAGCCCTGAAGCCCGCAGGCCGCTTCTGACGGGCCGCTTTTTGGGGCTCTTGCTGCGACACCGGCTCTCGGCACGCGCGCTGGCCGCCGCCCGGCTTGCTCCTTTCACTCCGAGCCATTGCTGGGTTTCTTAAGCTTAGGGGCTGCTTGCGGTAAGATCGCAAGGTACTAGCGATGTAAGGGTTAGATAGGGGTGTAGATCAGGATCCCTGACTTTCTGAAGCCGCAGCAAGACCATGTCAGAGATTTTCTTACACTCTCTGAAAGTCAGGTGCTACTCCGTACTCCTGGATGCGAGAGGGGAATTACACAGCAGCTCGGAGCAGAACCCCCCCCCCCCCCCC